TTTTCCAAATTGTTGATGGATAAACATGTTTGAGAAAATTTTATATTTATTCGAGCCACTTTGGACATCGAACCAATTGATTTTTCATACACCATACAATGCGACCATTAGACCGATGAGCTCTTCGTTTGTTATAAATTAGTTTAAAATTAAAAGAACTCTGACATATAAGTTTAATACATTCACGTCGAATTCAAATATAAAAATTAAAGGTAAATAAAAACTAAAACATTTCCCCCACTAATCGGCAAACCAAACACGTAGCAGAACGGAATTGCTTGTGATCTCGAAAAACGATTGAAATAAAGCCCTCTGCCCTTGAAAATAAATTACATTTTTCTATAACGCAAGCGGCGCTAGTGATTCTGGCAGAAAATCTGAAATGTTCAGGAGGCCGTACACTTTGTATGGACAACGGTGCGCGGTGTAGGCACGGTGAGGAACTTACATCAATTTTCGTATTACCAATGGATTAAATCCGTGGGTAGGAAAGTTTTCGATTGGGGGGTGTCGGGGTGCCGGGAATCAAAGTTAAAATTTGTATTCAGGTGGTCCCGCTTTTTTCCCTGGAAGGTGTTAGATCGATTTGAAGCTGTATTCTTTGTTTCTCGTCGCTTTTACGGCTGGTAAAGACTTTTCTATTGTTAGGAGACTTAATTTATAAGACTATTCTATTTTTTACTTGCGGGCGTTTTATTTGATTTTGTTCTAGATGTATATAGATACATCTATACTAATATTATAAAGCTGACGAGTATGTTTGTTTGAACGCTATAATCTCAGTAGCTATTTGTTCGAATTGAGAAAATATATTTTTTTTGTGTTTAGGATACACCATTTATCGGGGTATACTATAAAAGTGTAAAAGCGGGGAAAGTTATTAATCATGGAGCTCAGCAGCTTCTGTTGCGTGCGCTGCGAAAACGGTTCAAGAAACCAAAAAATATTTACGAAGGAATGATTCCTCTTTAAATTATTAAAAAAAAAAAATATCCACGACAGTATATTTCTATTCTTTATGATTAACTCGCCTGAGCGACGGGACGCAGAGGACGTCGTGGATAAGCTATAATTTATATTGCTTAGGAAATTGTTGCGAACGATGTGCACGGTCTAGTTATAGATAAATACTAAATGCACGTGACCTCTAAAAAATTAAACCTCTTTGTAGATTTGAAATAAGAATTATTTTCAGTCTACAGTGAAGGTTCTTTTATTTTAATAGAATTGTATGGTTACTTTTTAAGTCATTGTAAAATAATAATAATAATAATTTATTTTATTTATTTAGCACTCACAACTTTACAGTGTTTCAATAAACTTACAAGTAACTATTTTTACATGTATCACGTTGTGAGAGCCTGGTGCCTGCTGTAGGTATAATAACCTGTGATACAAGTCACCAGCCCCCCTCGCCGCGAGCTCACTATAAAATTATTTGGACAATATAAAAAAGAACTTAGTACCTAGAGTTACAACTTAGAAAAGCCTCTGCGTTTTTATTATATATATAAGAGTGTAATTGTGTTGGTGTGTAGGTATGTATATGTGTATGTTGCATGGGTGTAATATCCGTATTTGTTATAATTGTTATGTTTAGAATTTAGCTGATAGGGGTGAGAAACCTTTCTGTCTCTGTGTAATTGAGTGATTTTAAGAAGTTTGTAATATTTTTTTTACAAAGATATAAGTTTTGACTATATATTTTAAGGTTGTAATTTAGTTTATTATAGAGAAATGGGCCAAGATAACAGTAAAAGTGTTGGGAATGTGAGGTACGGTAGGTGATTGATGGGCAGACATTATATTTTCGTCGTTTATTTTTTAGGAGATTTGGTTCGTATGGTAGCTCTGAATGTTTCTTCAATATGATTTGTAAGATAAATAATTGACGCACAGTGAGTACACCCCACATTTTGTACAGTTCAGTTGTAGGAGAACGATAAGGAAGATTTGCGCCTACTTTAAGGATACATCTTTGCGTTCTCTCTAGTTCAATGAGGTGAGTCTTTGCACTCCCTCCCCAGGAAATAATACAGTATCCAATTACGGACTGAACTATTGCGTAATAGACCATTTTAATGATATTTATATCTGAGATGTGTCTAAGTTCTTTAAAAATGTATATAAGTTTTCGAATTCTAATAGCTAGTGTATTTATATGCGATTTGAAATTTAGACATTGGTCAACCATTACGCCAAGGTATTTAAAATGCTCCACTCTATCCAGGAAATAACATTTGCAGTTTGGCGTCATTTTAGTACAAGTGTGAGCTTTAATGTTAAGGTCTGGACCTGGTAATAGGTTAGGTTTGTGGGCAAAAGCCATATATTTCGTTTTTGTCACGTTTAGTGTTAGTTTATTACATTGAAGCCAGTTTAAAACTTGATCTAGTCCTGACTGAGCGCGTTTAAAGACCGTCGCCCAATTTTCTCCTGTGAATAAAAGTGCAGTGTCATCGGCGAAGGTAATAATTTTGCACTGGGGTATCTTAAGACTGCATAGATCGTTCAGATAGACCAAAAATAGCGTTGGGCCGAGTATGCTGCCTTGTGGTACGCCGTAATTTAGTGGTAGGCTATTGCTTAGTAGATCTTGCCCTATAATCCTTACTCTCTGAGTTCGGTCTTGTAGGTAGTCTTCAAAAAGTTTTAGAGCAATACCCCTAACTCCTACTGTCTCGAGCTTTTTAATCAGATAAGGAATGGAAATAGTATCAAAAGCTTTGGCTAGGTCTAAGAATATAGCAATACACTTTAGTTTACTATCCAGATTTAGTATAGTAGTATTTATGAGATCATGTACAGCGTCATTAGTAGCTTTACCACGTCTGAAACCATATTGATTTGGAGAGAGGATCTTATTTGTCTCTAGGAAATTCACAAGTCTGTTATTCATTAGTCGTTCTAGTATTTTTGATAATGTGGGTAATATTGATACTGGTCTAAAATTATTGGGGCTATTTGTGTCACCTCCCTTAAAAATAGGAGTGACGAGTGCTTCTTTAAAGGCTTTTGGGAATACTCCAGTTTCCATTGCAAGATTACAAATATAAGTTATTGGTTTAATTAATGTATTACAGTATCTTTTTATAATACTACTAGTTATTAAGTCTTTGCCAGATGCAGATTTATTCTTTAAGTTTTTTATAATAGTATGAACTTCAACTTCATTACAGGGTAGCAGAACAAATGAATTTAGGGATGAACAAGTAGGATTTCTTGTTTGACAACATAGTGTATGTTGTTCAGATTCAGAGTTGTCAGTAATACTTTGTTCTGCGAGTCTTGAGCCCACTTTAACAAAATAGTCATTTATAGCATTTACATTACCAATGGTATTATTAGCGCCCATATGACTTGACATCTTTTTAGGATTATCGTAGTTACTTATATTCTTTATTGCTTTCCACAACGATTTAGTATTACCTTTAGCATTCTGAATTTCTGTTTTATCAAATTCTTTTTTAGCTTTTTTAATTTGTGAGTTGCAAAAATTTCTGTAGCGCTTGTACGTTAATTTAATATTATCATCATCAGGATTACGTTTAAATTTTTTATATAGGTTATCTCTATTTTTCATTATGCGAAGTAGGCCTTTTGTTATCCAGGGCTTAATTATTCTTTTTTTGAGGGGTATATATTTAATTTTTGTACATTTAGTAATCACGTTGTATAGATAATTTAATAATAAAGTAGTAGCTTCATTTACGTTGGCAACTAGTAATATGTTTTGGAAAATATTCGTTTCTGCTATTGTCTTATCAAGCTCAGTATAATCTATAGTTTTTACCTCCTTTTTATGTGTGTATTGTTGGGAATGATTTCTTAAGCTAATTGCTACACTTTCGTGGTCCGTTATAGATGACTCAATATTAAAGCACACAGCACTCAGTTTTGTCTTAACCATCATATGATCTAAACAAGTTCGACCATGTGTAGGTGACATGTGAGCAGGTAGCACGCCATGACAAGCCAGTAGGTTTAGATACTCGCTGGCGCGATTGTCACTCGAATTTTTTTTTATATCTATATTTATATCTCCGCAGATTATAATATTTCTGTAGTTTCGTAAGCTAGTTAATAGATGGTCTAGAGAATTAATAAAACTATTTGTATTAAAAAAACTGGGTGGACGATATATGGCTATTATACAAGTAATTGAGTTAATTTTTAGTAAAAGACAATTTGCATCAGCAACTGCAGCTTCTTCTGGGATCGCTTTAAGATTTTTATTATAATAGAACACAACACCTTCATTTTGAGTCTTGTGAATTGTTGTACAAACACAATGGTAGTTTTTGATTGTTGGTAGTTTTTTAGTACACGGAAGCCAACACTCTGACAATGCTAGTACGTCCCAAAAGGTACTAGATCTTTGTAAAATGGTTAAAAGACTGTTCATGTTACGGTTTATGCTACGGATATTTTGAGAAAAGATATTAAGTGTGTCTTTATGTGACATATAATTTTGAACGTTTTCGATGTCACATCTTATTTCTTCTGCTACTGCAAAATTGTCCAGATCGGATCCTATCATATCAAAGGATTGCATTTGATACAAACCTATACTCAGATAACACAGAGTGGCATCCAAGTACGGGTCTGCCCATATTGAGATTTTTATATGCGACCACGACAGTATCGTGATCTGAATACATTTTGTAGAAAAATAGTAATTGATTCCGATCTAGACGAGCAGTAGTAGGGCAGAGTGTGTAATAATATATAATAGATAGATATAACTTTGTGTATAGTTGTGTAAATGTAATAATAAGTAATTTTATAATATATATTTTTATTGTATAATAACGAAGGAGTGTAATATGTCTATTGCTAAAGAGGCGCAGTAATAGATTACTTGTTATGTGTATATATAACGTTTTTGTAATGTAGCATAGGCTTCTATACGCAGGGTTTATATAGCCATGCAAAAAAAATAGTGTACTTAAATTAACATAGTTTAGAAAAAAAGAGTAATGAAATATAAGATGACCTAGTCATTTTTTTAGGAGTTGTAGATGTTCTTCACTTTTCACAAGTATATGGGGTGCACCTTCCTTTTCTCTTATGTAGACTTTGTCATTTATAACCCAGCAGAATAAATATCCTTCGGTTTTTATGAATTGCCGAGTTAGGTAGTATAACTGCTTCGTACATTGTGACAATGATTCCGAGATGTACAACGGTGTTTGGGAACTGTTTATTTTTAAATGAACACTGTTTAATTTTGCACTTGGGTTTTCTCTATTGTACTGCTTAGCGGCCTTTAAAATATTCCATTTAGTTAGTGTGTCCGAAAATTCAATATTTATTGTTGAAGCTGAAGAATTTTTGTAAGCGGGGAATCGATGCACATCGCGTATGCGATCTTTTAAATGTTCCATACCGAGAAACTTTGTCAAATTATATGCCATATTGAAAAGGTCATTTTTCTTTTCGTTCAAAACTTTTGGGGTATTTCTTATTTCGATACAGGTTTTTTTATATGACCGTTCAACGCCACTTAACCTAATATCCAGCTTAATCAGTTTGTCGCTTAATGATTTTTGTTCATCATCTATTTCTAAAAGTTTATTTTGCATCGAAGAGACTTGCTCATTGAGGGTAGACAATTTGGACTCAATTTCTTGGTTGGATGTTTGCACCGAGGTTAATTTGGTGTCGATGTCATTGATTCGCATATGTAAATCATCAAAAAGCAGGCTTTGTTTTTCTGAAAATGTTTCAAACATTTGGGAAAGCATTTCCTGCATTTGTGTCCTAAAGGATGTCATATCTATCATCTGTTCGCTCGATAATCGGCGACGTTTTTCTCCACGAATTGTTATGTTGCCAATTAGCGACTGGTCATCGTTGGTATCATTTATCTGTGGAGCCGAATTAGTTCGGTGATAATCAGATGGTGGAGATCTTAACATTTTTTCGCTTTTCTTAAAGAGGGTAGTCTTGCTTAAAAACACAACTTCGAAGTTTGCTATTATTATGCAGCGGCGTTTATAGGTTTCGCATGCGCATCTATACCAGCCAATAGACAGCTGGGTCAACGCGCAGTCAAGCCAATCATCTAGTCGTGCCGTTTGCGAAACTGGGATAGGTGTATAATGTCGTCTTACTCACTCAGAGGAATGACGTCTAGCAGTTTATGATGGCCTGGTACATCGAATGATTTAACACACTTTATTTCAATTAAAATAATTCGAAACTTTTTACTTCACTTTACAACAAAATACACGTCTACACGCTGTCGAATCGGGGAGAGGAAGGAAAAATATCATCTATGTTAGGTAAAGTACCTTTTTAAAAAGGTATTTTAAGCTAATAAAATTTGAGTCATACTTTCTGATACACAATATACAAACACAAAATGATCTAATTTCTCGGAGGCCACAGATTAAACATGATTTGTACTGTCATGTTTGCACAGATGATTAACACCATGCGTCGTATGTTACAGTACTGTATTTTACTTTAAGAATCACGAATTTACAATATAAGGCAAGTGTAATTGGCATATATTTTATATTGAATCGTTGTTGGTATTTTTTATTTGTATTTACATCCTAACTACTGTCTGTAGTTTACCCGAGTACCTAGTACACATTTAAATGAAACACTTTAACTGTTTAAAACGTGAAATATATTATTAAATTTATTTAACTAATACATTTCTAGTTTTAAACCGTTAAAGTGTTTTATTTTCATATTTTTTCTTTTTACTATATCGAAACGGACACAAAAGTGCGTACGCTCCATGACCCCAAAAGAGGAAGCGGGACTTCATATAAGAAATCTTTTTAAATTACTTGTGTAATGTCTAATCTAATTATATAAGAGTTATGTTTCTTTTATCATAAGCAAGTGTTTTAATTAGTATCTTTTCTACATCACTAGGAAAATGTAGTATATTTTGTGCTATAATATGTTTTTATATATCATATCTGTGATATATCGTTTTGGCGGGAAAATGTTATTAACGCTTAATATATGAGGTTTATTTCTGTTTTAAAACAAGAAGCCATTAAGAAATGCATTGCAGAAACTTACATAATGATTTTCGTGTAGACTATAAAATGTAGTATAATTACCCAAAATTAGTCATATAGTGACAATTACCAGCATTTAAATATGAATATAAGAGCCATTACTTGACGGTAGTAAATACGTTCATTACATAATGTTAGCATTAGTATGTGAGGTCAAACGTGTCTTTCAAAAAATGTCGTCTTTATTATACGAGCACCACAATTCAGGAAGTTATATTTGTTTTAGTTAACAAAAGTAAATTTAAGACTTAAGTAATGTCTTTAGTTTACACGAGTGTACACATTTCAATAAAACACTTTTAACGGTTTCAAACAAAACCCTTATTAGTTCACATCTAAATTATTTCGTTTTACTGAGAATCGGGGTCGCCTGTGACCTAGCTGCTGCAAAGTATCGGAAAAGTTGGGTCATAGTTAAGTAAATCAAATATTAGTTTATTATATACCGTGTTTTAAACCGTTTAAAGTGTGTTATTCAATTTAGTTGGCGCAGAAGATAAGATAATCTATTATTTAATTATATTTCTGAGTTAATAGATTGAATAAAACTAAGTTTTGCATTAAATGGTTATTTAAATTTGGCATTGTTGTCATCCATTTTCATATTCCCACGTAAAGTGCGCTAACTCGCCATTAGTTAGTCATTAATTTGTTATCTCATTGTTAGATTTAATCTTAATTTTATAATCTCGACCTTCATGGACAGTGGATACTAAATCTTGTACAAATTATGCGTCGCTTTTCGTTTACAAAGTCTGTAATAGCAAATATTTGAGATGAATCTTAGGTTCATACATTTAAAATCAAGTTTAGTTATGACTTATTTTCAATTAGTATCTTACTAGATGATAGACGAAATATTCGTTTTAAACATTTACGTGTGCTTAGTATAAACAGCACACTGTCCAGTTCTCTAAGAATATCAAAACTTCATAATTTAATGTTGTTGTCAAAAAAACAATAAAATACATAAAATGTCTTCTAAAATATTATTTTAATGTCAACCTTTGTGATTAAAAAGTAATTCCTTATAAAGCATCTACACACGACACGGACACGGCAGCTCAATTACTTAGAGCAATACTGAACGCTATGAACACCGGTTCAATTCCTGTCCGTATCGTAATTTTTTTCAATTCATATTCGCTTTTTATTAAAAAAAATATCTATTTGGGTTAAACATATTTGTATAATCTTAAACATGTTAAACCCCATCAGGAACTTGTGAACATTTAAATAAAACACTTTAACGGTTTAAAACGCGATATATTGGTTAAACTTAGTTTAAAATTATTTTTAACTTCGGCTCGACGTTTCGGATGCTTTGCAGCAGCCGTGGTCACGGAGAGACGTCGGGCCGAAGTTAAAAGTAATTTCCAAATAAGTTTAACCAATATATCGCGTTTTAAACCGTTAAAGTAATTTATTTAAATGTGTACTACTCGCGTAAACTATAGACAGTATTTAACTTGTGAACATTAAATTAGTGGTAAGAATATCTCTCTTCGGGAACCACTGTCGATGAATGGATGAGAATTACTTTGGTTTCAATTTTAATTTGTGATTTTCAAATATCGAAAACTGAAACACGTTGAAAGCGAACATTGATTAAATGTTACAGGATTAGTGTATCCGTCTACCTTGAAGTGACACCCTGTCATAACGCATGCAGCCTCTTATAATGCGCTTTCTATAGACCAGTCACGATGAATCGTAAAAGTGGAACGATCTTACTGGGCCCCATACCTCGAAATATACTCAAACTTTGATATAACCGTGCCGGTCACTAAGCACGGCGATTGTAATTATCCACTGTTTTTATTTTTACTTTAATGCTACGTATTTCCATAACTACGTCAAGTGCGGTCTAGCGTAGGCTAGGGATGGGATTGCACGATGGATTTACTTCCGGATTTTTATCGATGGTTTTGTGTGACTTTAAAACTACATTGCGCGTAAGTGGTTTGGAGGTTATATGCTTTTATAGATACAACCTCCACGTGGTAGAGACTTCTAGATCTAACCATTATTATGTTTGTGTTGTGTAATGAAGAATGAAGTGAGTGGAAGTGACTTAAATACCTTTTTCACAAAATTAATTATCTTTTGTTAAAATTAATTAATAATATAGTTGTTACTATAGTCCGACTGTTACTGTTATCAATATAGTCTTCATGTAAAATAAATGCAAGAAACGATCTTTATTTTTTTTTTAATTGAAATAACCAGTTACGTTTGTGCCACGTTGTATGATATAGATTGTATTCGGTACCCAGCTTACCTACAATACATTAACTCTAGCCTAGGTAAATGATAATAATAACGTCATTAACGGATCTAACGTCACAAGACAAGATAATCGACTCCGGCGCATCACTAGTCGCCTTCCTCGTCCTCAGTTTACCGTGGTGTGCGCGTGCGCGCGACCGTCTCTTCACTTTCCAAGTTTACGATAACGAATTGTTTTTATATGGCAGTGACCCGTCCAAGTGGCGTGGTATCCTCTGGGCATGTCGACAGCACGCAGAGGAGGACCCCACAATATGGCAGGGTAATACTTACGTTATTTGTTGACCTTGTTTGTTTATAACATTGAATTCTTAAGGCTTTGTCACTCTTTCATGAATCTTATGTATTGAGAAAATTTTATACAAATAAAACTCTTATGTCTAAGTACTAAAGTTTGTTTCGCATTGTCGTGGCTATGCATCAGCTAAAACAAATGGATTTTTACGAGTAAGGAACATCCTCGTATAATGTAACAGTAGTCCTAAGGAGTGTTTTTGATTAATTTTTTGACTATCATGGTTCTGTAAAATCATAGAAATGGTCTTTTTAATTTGATTCTAAAACGATAAAACCTTAATTTATGTTGAATGATGTATATTTGATACACATGTTAAAAAATACTGTACAACAGCTGTTTTTATGAAATAGTATTAAGTAAAATTTATCTAAATAAACTTGTGTTTCATGAAGTGTAATTAAATAATATATATTAATATTACTAGATAAAATTTTAAAATTTTTTAAAACACTTTTTGTCAACAATCGCACAAAAACGAACGTGAAATTCTGTAAAGTATCCCTAAGCCAAAGAATACTTTTATTTTGGGTTTTCCTTGTCGCTTTGCATGGAAAACCCGAGAGTTTCCTGGAAAATGTGTGATATATGAGAGTATTTATTTTCGTAACTGTTTTTTCTTGCAAAAATTGACTAGTCATTTTAAAATATTATACATCATATTATTATCGCAATTTTAAGTAGATATTTTTAATTACTATTACACGTCATTTTACTATTTCTGAATAGTTACCAGTTTTTCCTTATATTTTCCACTGAGATTTAATCCTTGAATCACGTACAATATTGCTATGTGTATCTTTTAACTGTAGATGATTTTGTATTGTAAATGATTACAAACGGATTTGAAGCTTAAACTTCGAGTTAACCGAACTATTGCTACATAACATATTATTTTTGACTATTGTATATTAACGATTATCTGTAGTTTATACGAGTAATGCAAATTTAAATAAATCATTATTAACGTTTTAAAACACGAAATATATGTGAAATTACCCTTTTACAATCATAGAGAAGGACAGACATGGCATGGAGTGCACTTGATGGTAGGTGATAACCCAGCCTATAGCACCTAACCATGATGTGCTCTCGACCTATCTTAGCTTTAGATATTTGTAAAATTACCTAACAAATATATTTGTCGTTTTAAATCTTTACAAGTATTTTGTTTATTGTATTCATAATAAAAATTTGTGTATGTTTGCATGTGTATGTTTGTATGCATATTATTTATTAAGTACATTCAAATGCATAGACACTAAGGCTTCTACATATAAATTAATACGATTTGACGGGCTTGTTGGTTTAATGGTAGCAATGGAGGGCTAATGATCAACGGGTCGTGAGTTTGAACCCCGCAGGTCTAAAAGGTTTCTAATTTTTCTGATCATGCTGGACTGCGTCTGGAAATCTGAATTTTAAATGGCTGGTAGAAATATAGAAATTACGTCCGCGTTACGAACCGCCGTCATAAAATAAAAAAGCTGTGAAGCTTAATCGCGTGTCGTAATCAGTCTGTAGATTTCCGAATATCCAAAGTCAAAATAGGTCGACAGACTATAGGCTGCGGTATCGCCTACTATCAAGTGTGCGCCATTCCAAGTCTGTCATTAAAAAAACATATTTAAAGACTATATAAGGACTTCGAGAAAAATATTGAATATCTATTAAACATATACAAATGACTGAAATAGTTTTGATAACACAAACATCAAAAACACCATTACATCTTTCTTGATAACCTACATACCGACCTGTCATCATTACCGAATTTATCTTTTTACGTTTTACGCTACCTCGATACGTAAACGATGTTAAATTGTATTTAGAACGGAAAAGAAATTAAAAGTTAATTATTGGAAGTGAAAATTTTAATCGTAAAACGATAGTAATAATAGCAGACGCTACAGACGTTTTCAAAAGAAGTGGGTGTCGTTACCGTTTTGTTGTAATTATTTTTAAGTGTTCGCTTGATGGTGATAGTGATACCGTTTCTTAATAATTATGGTGAAAATTAATTATCTTGTGAGTTATTGTTATTAAGTGTAACACTTTGTGCTTTATATAATTTTCTCCTGAATCATTATCATATTGAAACATCCTTCACAAACGATCGTTGAAACAATAACAATTAACTATCGATTACTAATATTTTTAAACTTTGTAACAAAAATAATATTCATAACATTTAAATATATAATGATCCAATGATAAAAAAGGAACATATGTATCGGACATCCCTAGAGACCAATCGTGGGAAAATTGTTATCATTAGATAATCAATATTAGTTTCGTTTGAGTTGACATACATCAGTTATCATTCTAATATGTTCCCGGCTAAAATTATTACCTAGTCGTGTTTTCATAAAAACATACAATTTAATAACCTTAATATTTTTACATGATATTTCACTAAATGGCATTATACACGTATAAATTAAAAAGGAAATTTAGATTAAAAAAAAAACAATCCAGGCGGGACTTGAACCGGCGTCAACAGTGGTCCGTGCTGCTACTTAAGAGTATGGTTCAATGGTGGTTAATTTATCATCTAGCATTGCGTTTAGCGCCAGCGGTACAACGTTCGAATCCTAAGTTAAAATAATACTTTCAACAGAGAACGAGTCTGAAACTGCATACTGGTGGTAAAAGTGATCAATGACACTGAAATAACACACTTTTGACGGTTTCGAACGCGATTATTTTAATCAATAAAATTGACAAAAGTATATTTCTTGTATCACTTCGTATTTTGACACTCTAGCGGAACCCAGATTCGTGTTGCTATAATGCTAAAGTCCATTAAGTTGCAATTAGCTTAGTATCTAATTGACTAAAGTCGAGGATAATGAGACGATGACGCGGTCTTAATGTTCAATAAGAGGTCCTTACACCGGATACCTGGACAGCCGAGCATGACAATAGACAGGTCAACGTTACTTAAACAACGCTTGTGTATTCTTGTACGATTGTAATTTGAAGATGTAAATGTCGTCTAAATGCGTGTATAAACTTACATTTGATTTTTCCATCTTTTTATATACCAGTATATTATGTTCTATAATTTCAAGTCACTTTTAATAGTTAGTGGTTTTATGTTTTTAATGCCCTGTTTTGGCCATTTTTTTGTTAGTTGACACTTGATTTTTGTTATAAGATAAGCCAATTTATTTCCACATTTATGAAGATATATAGATTATGTTAGATATCTGAAGGCGCTAGCCTTACTGCAATTTTATGACTGGAGTTAATTATATTTATTGTTGTTTGTTCTTACACACATATTGTATTGAAAATCATAAATTTTGTTAATATGCCTTTACCAGCCTCAAATTATCTCTTGGTCATATATAGATAAGTAAATTAAAAATCTTTTGAGATCAAAAAAAATGACATGGCCTCCCTGTGTCTTTTTTTTTTCTTGAATCTGCATCCACCTCGTTCCGTTCTGTTGCTCTAACCAACTAAACTGCTGTATAATTTCAATACTCCCTCGTTGATTATGACTAGGGAGATAACATCCGTTTTACTCGTAAAATTACACTGTATTGTACTGTAATTTAGTTTACATAGACATAGATATCGGATACCTGTTGTAACTCAACTAGATTCGAACTCTGGACGACCTTAACTTACTAATACATAATCATATATAGCTATATATATATAGCCTTGCTAATTTAATGGTTACATTAAGCGTTACGTTAAGCGCCTACGGGTCAGGGTTCGAATCTCGGAAAATCTGTTAATAAAATCGATTAGTGGAAGAAACAGAAAGATGTTTGTCTCATGCCCTGTTTTTTCTCTTATTTATGCATAGTCGACATGCTTTAAACAAACAATAAATATTTTGTAAACTATAAGGACTTAATTATTCTAAATTGGGACAGACACGGCTATTATAAGATCAATTACTTCGTTGACCTACGTCGCTAAGTGTCGACAATTAATTTTAACAAAGAGAATAGAAAATAAGGTAAAGTACAGTAGAGAAATATAATTGAGGATGAGGATCTATACTAATATAATATATAAAGCTGAAGAGCTTGTTTGTTTGAACGCGCTAATCTTAGAAACTACGGGTTCGAATTGAAAAAATATTTTAACTTGCAACGACGGGAAGGGACGCGATCGATTTTGTGGCCAACAGTTCAATTCTATAAAGAAGTTTTCGGTTTGGATTTGGATTGGTCTTAATTTGGATTCTCGCGAATGAAGTTGCTAGCACGGCTAGTAGTTTATAGTTAGACCAGGTCCCTTCTGACCAAGACTAGGGAGACCCCGTCCTCCTTAGCTGTATAAACACTATGGACAACATTATATAAAAAACGTTAATATCGCTATTAATCAGACGCAAACAAATCTTTATTATGTTCAAAACAAATAGTCATAAATGTGATTTTATTATCTTTTATATGTTCACGTAAAAAAACATAATAATTGCTTTCCTATACACGCAAACTCTTCCGAGGATCTTTCCAATATTAATGTTTACGTTTCCATTTTTACGTAGTTCTTGAATTAGTAAAGTCAACAACATTGTTTCGTCTTATTCCATTTTCTCACGAAACCCCGGCGTTGGTTCAGCGTCGACGCTCGAAAAACGCTCGTTTGGGCGGTTTTCAAAAACAAGCTAGAGCAAATCAGTAATTGAGTTTAAGCGATCGTTCGAGTTATGGACAGGTGTCATAAATGAATTATGTTTAGATACATTCTTTATTTTTGTATTTATAATTGCTGCCTGCGAGTTCTGAAAAATTCTATCTAAATATGCACGTGGGATAGAATACATTATGATACAATAGTTATATGTTACTTAAAAGTTATAACAATAGTTATGTGGGTTGAGTGGTGATGGATGTTTTGAAAACTAAACTACGAATGTCAATCACCCAGCAAACATACCGGGAAAGTAAATATCAACATTATGTACGTGTTTGTCAGGTGTTCCGCAATATACACAATACTGGAGTACTTTTGTGAAATGCGACAGACAATTGTAATTGTATTGCTTCAACCGAGTAACCGATGGCTCGCAGGTTCGATTCTTACCCTCATCAATTATTATTAGTATAGGCATATTTGTTAATTATTTTTTAATATTTCTTCAGAAATCTAAGCATAATCCTAAGTATCTTGGACGAACAAATCGTACATTTAAGTGAGTAATCAAGAGAAGAAAATAATTTTGCAAATAACACTTTTTAATTTTTATTTCGTGAAAGACAACTTAATAGTTAATTATTTAAACATGTATGATATGATCTTTAATAGTAGTTATATTGTAAACATTACCTATAAACTGAATTATTGAAATATTTTCTTAGATACAATACTAGTTATACAATCGTAATTAGTTTTAAACAGCACGACCATTGAAGAATAATAAATTTTATTTATTCAGTACCACTCCGGCGCACACAACTTAGAAGACAAATTAGAAGAGTAATAAATATAATGATCTTTACGTCAGCTTCAGAAAATCATGCAGATAATGAAAAAAAAACCCGTTTTAATTTTTGTTTCCTGGTAGTAACAACGTTGAAGTTAGTTATTTACTTATTTAGAACTAACTTGACCTCTTCCGTAGCTGAGCACATAGAACTGAATACACAGAGTCTTGGGTTCGAGTCCCTGCAAAATGAAATATTATGTTATTTTTACGCATATAACAGGCAACAGGGTGATACTTTTTTAGCGAGATACATTTAGTAATTTTAAGGGCGATATTGGCAATTTGTATCCATGTTGATTAAAATGTGTTTTACCTATAAAGTTTTACATTCATTAATCCAGTTTTGCTCTTGGGTGGAATACTGTACTCACTACGATTAATATCGACGAGGAGCTTGGTGATTAACTACTTTCACGGAATTTCAGGTAATTTCATACGTGAAATAAACCTTTAATTTACTGAGCTGTCCGCGTTACCATGAATTTATATTTCATATATTACGTGAAATTTTATTTTTAATTTATAACGACACATGTATGTAAAAAATAAGAATACATTTACACCAATTCTTTTGTCTACGTAAATAAAAAAAAACGAAATAACAAAACGGATACGATTTGAACCCACGGCCAAAAATTTGATAGACAGACGCTCCTTGAATGTCGCCGTGTCATAATTATTTTTTTATGGAACTTAATTTTTCATTTTTTTTGGAATTGCAATTTGCATTTTAAGATTGAAGTTGAAAATTCATTCATTCATTGGAATCATCTTGATAAAAACGATGTCTCTTCTCGTCAAAGCCACCACAGTAAACATACCGTAACGATATTTACCACGCTATATTTACACAACAGTCTGCGCAAAGGCACGTGATATTATTTAAATTCTCTCCGTATAATTAAAGTTATTAGATCAGTATTCACACTGAAGTTGCGTGCGCGACGCGATCACGTATCGTACGTGACAATGAAAATTTGTTGAAATTAGTTTTTTAATATTCATTTTATGTCGATGCGTCGAAACAAGCATTAATAGATTATATTATAAAGAATGTTTCGACTTCAAAAAAGGAAGACGTTACTCAATTCAACGACGACTACGATTGCTTGAGCTAATTTTACCTTTTTTTTTTAAACCGATGGTGTGAATGCCTAATGCACGCCCACGTCGGGCAAGTGTGAGGTGGGGAGTGTAGTAAATCGGCTATACGTAGCCGACCAGAACCACTAAACACACCACCAGCCCTCTACAGTGCTTAGAGGGAGCCTTGGGAACACGTTTGTACGACTCCAAAGCTCCCAGCACCAATGCCCATTTCCGACAAGGCGAAAGCGAGGTTAGGGGTGATCTTGGAGGTGCGCATAGCGTCGCCTCCTTGATCCCAGTCTCGCCGCTCGCAGTGGAGGAGCTAACTTTACCTAAGGCCTTGCCGACTTCTTAATTTTATTGTTCCTTATCGATCAATGTAGGGTAGATTTGCAAAGTTAAAACACTTTTTATATAGTTTAGAAAAAATACTTGGTTGAATAAATGATAACAATGTCGGTAATAAAATAGAGTGTGATTTGCAACTTTTAAAATACCCGAATCTTCCTTTCATTATTACTTTCTCACTTTTAACACTGACATTGTAATAAAGTTTAATAAAATATGCAATTTATTTAAAACAAATACAGGTTTCAGGGAACATCAACAAAAATTGAGAGACCCATCTTGTTCCAGACAGTCGGACGGATATTGGAGTTCGTCAAGATCCAATTCTTTACGATAGCTACATCTCTGACCCTCTTCAATACTGTCCGGCTGCCCCGCGAAGCCTTCAAGTATGGAGACATTCAGTACCTGGTGGTCTACTCGGCTTGGCTGCTGGCTGTTGGATTGCCCAGTTCTTTGCTGCAAATGGCCATGGGGCAGCTTAGTCAGCAAGATGCTGTTGGGGTCTGGCGGGCTGTTCCTATATTTAGAGGTAAGTAATAAATTAAATAATACACTTTAACGGTTTGAAACGCGATATATAATAGGTAAACTCATTTGGAAATAATTTTAACTAGGTCCCGACGTTTTGATATGCATACTACTCGCATAAATGCAGGCAGTATTAAGGTTAGACACAATCAAAGAAACATCGTGTGTACTTTTTTTGAAAGATTATCGTAAAATTATATAGTACAGATCAACTGAATCGAATATCAAAAAGTCTGATAGTGATATCATTCGGTATACAAAACACTTCGTAATTTTCATTAAAGTTGATATTGAGACTGAATTATTAATGAGTATGTGCATAAGAGGACAAATACCCATCAAGTAAAGATAAGTGAAAGAACGTGAAATTGAAAAATGTTTTTACATTTGAAATTTACTGAATAAAGAGATGTTGTACAAAGTTAGTTTAAGTAGTCTCCTACCTAGCTTGATGTGGTATATCAAGACAAATTTGGCTGTAACTTAGCAAATCAAAGTATATTTTCTAAGTCGTAATTCTTCCAGGTGTAGGCTACATCAAAGTGCTGACATCATATTTGTGCTGTATCTACAGCATGGTGTATGTGTCTCTATCAGCAGCTTATATGATCTGGATTGGGAAGGGCTCCTTTCCTCTAAGGGACTGCACTAAGATACAGATGACACCGGTATACTATTAATACTTATTACATCAGATAGCAAGACAGTGATAGTGCTATCTTTTAATTTTATATTTCAATTTAGAGTTATCTATACTAATATTATAAATGCGAAAGCAACTCTGTCTGTCTGTCTGTCCCGCTTTAACTCCGAAACTACTGAACTGATTTAAATGAAATTTGGTACACAGATATTTTAGAGCTTAAAAAAGCTTTTTAATGCCAAAACAGGGTTGTTAGGGGTTTAAAAAGGGGATGAAAGTTTGTGAGGAAGTTCGTGGTTTTTGAAGCTAGAACAATGAAACTTTCTTCTTTGGCTTTTTGGAAATAGGTGTGGGAGTAGAAGTCGGAGTGGGAGTGATGTAAGGTTAGAGTATTGCGGCAAACAACATAGATTGGCTACATTAATTGCGCCCTTACCTAAAGTAATAAACAGCCTGAATAATTAAAAATTCCATCCCAAGTCGCGGGCTACAGCTAGTACTAATATACAGCTGAAAAGTTTGTTTGTTTAAACGCGCTGATCTCGGGAACTACTGATTTGATTTAGAAAAAATATTTCTGTGTCGGTTAGATAAATTATCAAGGAAGGCTTTAGGCTATATAACATCAGGATGCGATGTCTATCTTTAAGATTGACGGCGAGACAAGGAGGACGTCGTAGGTAACGGCTATAATAATTAATAAAGCTATGGACTATGATACTGATTCCCAAAATAACTACTTCACGCGGACGAAATCGTGGGCATAGCTATAGTATACAATTGGAAATGAAATAACGTTTTTTGAATTTCTGGCCATTTTACTGGGTCGTTGGTGTGCCTAATGGTAGCTATATGTGGCTAATAATCGTTATTCCAAAACTCAAACTCATCTTGGACATCATACTCGTAATAATTATTTTGCACCTCAGCAATAAAATTATAGCTGTAACTTAAGACTTTTTCTGCTTCCCGTCCTACTTGGGAGTTGATATTAAAAGATGTTCCTACAGTCGGGGCCATTTTTTTAGATCATTTAAAGAAAAAACATTCTTTCATAGGCAGTCTTAAACCCATTGTCGTAGCGCACCTAACGGAAGGCCTCAAAGATGATGAATTTTCCCCCTTTTCCACATTTTCCTTTGTTCGTTCTCTCCTATCAGTCACAACCTGATCCTTTCACGATAAATGGTCTAACCAACAAAAAAATATTTTTTGATTAATTCTAAGATTAGCCCGTTAGAACCAACTCTTCAGCTTTATAATATTACTAACTTAAACTGCAGACTATAATCAAGCTATGTTGCAGATAGTGTGAAAACTATACAACAGTAGCATACCCAATTATCCTTTGTGATCGTGAATGACCATAATTTGGTTGAAATTAACAGAAATAACAGTAAATAACACAGTTAATTCTCTTATTTTGCTGTAATCAATAGCCACCACTCGAAAATAACAAACATTGCGGTTTATCGCTTTTTTGCTATTTAAATATAATTAAATTAAACAAACCCTGCTTTCAGGATGGCTATGAAAACAAAATGAATGCGTCCGAATGTTTCAAGTGAGTATATCTATATATCACAGCATGCTAAGCACGTATCCAACTAATAAGGTTCTAGGTTCGAGTCTTGGACGTCTATTTTGAGCGATTAAAACTCAATACATTATTAATTGAAAACGTAACTCTAATTATTGTTATTACGAATGTTATGATAAAATATAATGTCTCTTAAAAATAATAAGTTAAAGAATATCCCGTACATTGCGACTCAAATAATTTGATTTTGTTGTCCAGGGATTTCCACTCTGGATCTCTTAACGTGTACTGTACTACGTTTATCAATATTATTAGGTATCAAATAGTTGAAGAAATTAAATGATGACTAGTAAGTCACGTTAGGTCAGTTGGATAGAGTAGCAGCACGCATCGCTGTGGTATTTGGTTCGAGTCTCACCTTTTTTATCGATTTTTATCGATCCCTAAGTCTAAATAGGTATTTAATTTATGTAAAATGTGAAATCTTTAATATTTTTCACATAATGGCAAATTAAAAATCAATAATATAATAAATTGAAAAAAAATACGACTCGGGCAGGACTTGAACCGGCTTCCACAGAGTTTAATACAGTTATTGGTTAGTTTCAAGACCTGCCCGTGTTTTAACTTCTAAAAAGTTTACATAAGTACTTTATGGCGAAGACATCACTTAATAGCACTAAAACACCTCATTACTATTCCAGCACGACATTTTTGGCGCCATTTACCGAACAGCCGCAGTATCTTGGAATAATGGCTATTTTGATATTCATTTTATGGTTCTTCGTACCACTTATGTAAGTATTTTACACTGTTATATTAATTAATTGTATAAACTTTTAAAATAAAACACTTTTAAGGGTTTAAAACGCAAGATATTGCTGGATGGAAACTTGCATATTTGAAAATCTACAGACGGAAACTACTGGCTTTTTAAACAGTTTATTTAGCGTACCGTCCCGTACGGAATTTATTTATTTGGGTCAACATTAGAAATTGAAATCTAAGCACCTTCCCGTTGTCAGATTGATCTGAAATTTGATAAACACATGTAATTTAGATGATAATACAATGTAATAAAATCAAAAACATTATAAATCCAAGATGGCCGCCGATCAAATGAAAGGGCTACAGTAGTAAAACACGATGATTATGTCATTTTTTTAAGTATGGAACGGAATTTTGAATTTCCATTTAATATCCAGATTTCAGAGGAAGTCAAACTTGTTTCAGAAATATAAATTACATCGAACTTAAGACCCCCTGATGATTGCAGCATACTAATGCACTAAGCCAACGAAGCTGTTAGTTATTAAATAAAAATATTATTTTCAGGCTGATCAACCTCCACAAATCACTGAAAGTGTCCTTACTAGTTCTATCACCAATCATAGTCGCACTAGCAGTTGTACTGTGCGTGTTTGTATCTGATGGAAGTGTTCTAACAATTTCCTTGGAGACAGAGGACTGGTCGTTACTCACTCGTCCATATATATGGCATAGTGGGTTAGTCCAGGCGTTGCTTTCAACAAGTATTATGAGTGGGTACTTAATAAGTGCTGGTGGAACTTTGTATAAGTATTCAGATGTCAGATGGTAAGCTTTATTAGTTTTTAATACTTACTTTTGCGAATCATTGTTGTATAACACATTCTTATTGACTAATTTCTCATCTTTTGAAGGTTGAACTTATTTGAGAATAATTTTAACTACAGTCCGACGTTTCGGATGCGTGCAACACCTGTGGTCAAGGGGAGGCAAATAAGTTTAACTAATATAGATCTATATACAATATGTACAATATTTATGTTTTTAAATTTTACTACTATCATTTTATAATTATTATGTTGTTCTCAATTTCAGGTCTTCTACCTTCATAATCATATCGAATCTACTATCAGGATGGCTATGCGTCTTCATGTGGGAGTCCATAGCTGGTGAAGGAAATAAAGACAAGAGCTTTATAGCAATACTGGTGCTGATCTACCAGTCATCAGTAGCAGAAGCTAGATCGAAGGAGTGGCCGCTTCTAGCATTTGCCATCGTTCTCGTTTCAGGGATGATTACATTGGTAAGAAAAATCATATTTTCTAATAATTACTCATGACAGGACAAACAAACATATATATGCGTTATAGAACTATTTGGTAATCAGACGGAAATCAGATATTCGTACACCCACCACATAACCAGATTTTTCAGATGAAGTGAAACATATTTCTGGAAAACTGGTTAGAAATATCATAGATAATGCTTATTAATACATTGCTTTTATTAAATCGACCAGGCCGTCAAACTTCTTATATTTTAGTAAAGAACAGCGCAGAAGATTTATAACCCACCTAATTTTCACCATGTACAGATAGACACAGACTCCAACTTATTAAAAATGCACGTACGAGTAATAGAGTCAAATTAGTTTGATTTTACATTATTATTCCAAATTTGATTTAATTAAATATTTACGTTCATATTTGACGTTCGTTTATAGATGAACAAATATGGCCCACTGAGCTCGTGGTTTGGTATTGTGGTTTTATAATGCAATTTAATGAAGTTATGCAATGGTTAGCAGACAAAGTATAATGTATTGTATTAAATTTTATTATTTATTGAGAATTGATGTATAACATATCTTTATTCGTATATGTTTTAGATGGCATACTGAACTCGTCAATATAGAGCAAAAAATATACAAATAAAGGCAACAAGGTTTTTTGTATTCTTACAAATATAATTTGATTAATAAACGAAAAATAGTGTATAAACTTTAATTTCCTGATATATATATTTTTAATAACTATTCTGTAGAAATTATAAATGTGTAATTTATATGCAAGTTGCAGCTAAGGTTTTTTTTTATTTTCATGACAACCTTTCATGTATTTTAGGAGCCAGTCCGACCGTATAACGGCTCTTTTATGTAAAACCTAACGTTCTGTAAGTTAATAGACTAAAAATACGTATGAAAAATTCCGTCCCAATTTCCACGAATCCCGGTTATCTTATTATAATTTGCATACATTTTGTATCCAAAGCAAATCCAATTTTCGTTATATTGAAATATTTATTATGTAATTTATTAAATCAGAATTCCACTTGCGCAGGCTTTTTGAATCTGAATTTTATATGATTTCATTAAAGTATTTGATGTCACTTTCACAGGGATCTCTTTATTTGAAATACGTATCGACATTTCAGAATAACAATTTACTTTGGATTTTTTACGGCCAAAAGTCGAACCCACTACCACAGGCTTGTTGTACGAATGAATTCATCCATACATCTCTTAAAAATGTTATTTTAAAATTACTTTAAGTCACTACTTATATTATATGCAAAATTAAATGAATCTCTTTTCAAGCAAACATTGTATTAACAAATCGCAGAGAAAAAAGATATATGTAAGGTTTACTTTCATACGAGTTCAGTTATATCTCTTCATTCATAATACCAAACTAGGCGTTATTCATAAGAAATGTAAAATTTGAAAACTTGAATATTTTTTATATGTTTTTGCACATGATCGCACTATATAGATGAAAAATCGAAAATAAACTGAACAATTTTTAGACTTGGGCAGGAATTGAACCGGCATCGTCAGCATTCCGAGCTGTTGCTCTAATTAAATAGTTTTCAATTTATTTTAAATATTTAATCATTGTAATTTTTTTTTTAATTTTTACACTATTTCAGTTACTTCTGCTATTCCCCGTCTACGACAAACTGCATCGCCTGTGTGGTGATCAATGGCGTCTCTTTGCGGCTGCCGCCTCGGCTCTTGGGACTGCGTTGACGGTCGTGGTACTGTCCAGAGGCATTTCTGTAGCTGAAATGCTCGACGAATTAGTGGTGCCGGTGTTAGCTGCGGTGACGGTAACCTTCGAAGTTGTGGGTTTCGTGTTTATATACGGTAAGATTTAGCTTTTCATTTTTTGCTTACTACGTATGATAGATAGATCTATAAATTTAAATAAAACACTTTAACGATTTAAAACGTTTATACAAGGTTATTCTTTGTTGATACTAAAGCTGAAACACCCCAAAAGGCTTTTCATTCGCAGAATCAGGGTAAAAAATCAAAATTAAAAAATAATGAAACTCACGAAGTTATGAATTTTTTTCATGTTATTGTTTATCCCACAACCACATAACTGAGCAGGCGTCGAAACAGCACGTTATCTCGCACCCCATCCCTCTCCTCCGCTCCGCGTCCTGCACCTTACACTACACGATTTACTACTTGTATGTAAATACTGTCTATAGTACACATTTAAATAAAACATTTTAACGGTTTAAAACGTTTCTTTAAAGCTATTTATATGTAAATAGCTTTAAAGAAAGTAGTTTAGAAGTACCTAAAACTACAACGCACACCGTTTAATGGATTCCTAGTCGGCTTTTACTTCTTTGATCATAATATAATGTAATTGAGACTACTTTAAATAATATAACAACCTAATGTGCCTAAATGATTACAGGATATTTCTACCTCAAATTTGACATCAAGTTTATAACGGGTACGAGACTACCGCGTATCTGGATGGTAACATGGTGGTGTACTCCAATCCTGGTGGTAGGTGTAACGGGTTGGTGGTTGCGAGCTGTCATCAGAACTGCATGGAGCCAGGGCCAAAGCTTATGGCCATTAGTGGGGGCATTCATAGCGATTCTGGTAATTCTGGTAATTTTCGCCGGGATAGCAGTCGCGAAAGAAGAGCAGTATAATTTGTTTGCCGTAAGTTTATTTTTTATATGCGTATTCAGCTTACTTACAGATTACCTAAATACTTTGTAAGTACCAACTTATTTAATTTTCTAAAACATAAATTTCCTCTTGATGTTTAGCTCTCCACCGGAGAATACTTATCAAAATGTATACCAAGATATTGATTTTGTCGCAGGACTGAACCCTCGACTTTACGGACCAATGTCTGGTGCACATACCATACTAGAGAAACACAGCTTTATTCGTTTAAATAAAACTATTATTTAGAATACAATTAAAGAGAATGCAATAGGACAGTTAGATATTTAAATTCTAAATATCTCTACTGAAATTAATATGTCTGCATTACCACAATTATTTATTCCAGAAAATAACAGCAGCGTTCCACTCCTCACGTCTCTGGGGACCAGAAGATCCAATGACACGCTACATGTGGATGTCCCAAAGGTTTTCTAACGAAACCTTCAGTAGCGAACCGGACGTTACATCAGAGTCCAACAATTATGTGAACCTTCACAACGATTATACGAAGAACGATATGAAAAACGATAATTGGCTCAAAGAAGACCTCTATCAGATGGACGCAAAGAACAACTACAATATTGAATATCTAGGGAAAGACAATCCAGCCTTTTCAGATGCGATATACGCTGTACCAGCAAGTAAACGAAAGAAAGAAGATACCTTCAGATCGCCTAATATTTGTATAGCGAAGGGACAGTTAGGTGGAGAAGTAAATTGCAATTGTAACAGGCATTTCCAACTGAATGTACCGGATCTGAGGAATAATGAAATATCGACTAGTCTGTAGACTTATGTACAACGATCGCTTTGTCTAGTCGCTATAGTTAGTGTATTTATTAAGGTTGAATGCCGTCTAATATTTATTGAGCCGATGTTCTTGTGATATGTAGACCTAATATGTTTTTGTAAATAGATTAAAGAGCTTCTTGAGCTTCGATTTGGTTTTACTATCCCATTCTTTAAGTCGGTTCCATTACTACATTAAACAGTATACTAAAACAACCAGAAGGAGTGTTCTATGATAGTTGTAGCCGCTCCGTCGCCCGGGTCAACTACTCGTCGACCGCGACAGCATACTGTATCGGTCAATTTCTAGTTGACTGTTCGCCGACAGCACAATGTACCGGTCAATAACTAGTTGACTGCGCGCTACCGCGTTAAATGTAGGCATCAATCTGTGAGTGACGTGACTCCCGCGCTCAAATAAGTCGAATATACTCGTCTTTATTGCTCTCGAGGTTACTTTGTATATTTTATCTCATTTTTCCGTTAAATTTCCCGCCATATCCATACCAGTCGAGTATCCAAACCATAGAAAAAAGTTATGTAATAATAAAATAACGGTCCTCAGTTAATGACGTGTTGTCAGTGGTGAGTATTGTGAGAATTTATGTGATTATAAGGTTGCAAGTGAACAAGTGTGATACATTATTGTAATTGCATTAATGTACTATAAGGTATGGTAATTGTAATTTTTAAATTATTTAGTTTGTAGAACAATAAAATCAATCTTTCAAAATAAACTTGAGTCACAAAGACCGATAGCGAAATGCCGGACGCGTTACAAACGCGTTAAAACCGTTACAAACAGTGGGGCACAAACGGATGGCGTAGTTTTTGTCGCTGTGCGTTTAAACCTACCAAGGTCAAAGAGCCGGGCCATAGGCGTGGTCCGATTTTTTAGTTCCGCGCGACCGAGAGGGTAGGCAGAACTGTCTTCGAAGATCTTCCCCTGCTGATCCGCACCTTCCTTCGTAGAGTGTTAATTTAAAGATGTTTAGTGAAATCAAATAAATAAATACAACTATCACCTGTGACTTCATAAGGTTACTTTCTCCGGTATTGTTAATTATCTTCAAATATTACATATTATAGAATAGAAATATTTCTATAGAAATTCCATATAATATATTATATAGAAATATTTCTAGTATGCATTACATATTACTATGTAATGCATACTAGAAATATTCTCTTAGTCTTGTAATAATAGCCTTTTTGAGTAATAATATAATAAGTTTGGGTAATATATATATACAAAGCTAATAATTCTTAAAAGTTTCGAGTGAAAATACAAAAATGATAATCACGCGGAACGAGCAACGGATAAGAAAAAAAAAGAAAAATGGCAAAAGTTTTCACGTAAATCTTCGAACACGTTTAAAAAGAATTTTGGTACTTGTGAGTAACGTTGTTATATTTGGTCGAATTATTTTGAACACATACAACAATATAATTATATATTCGTATAAATCATTTGTATATTAGTGCATCTGCATATAGGTGTCCGTATGATTTATGTAGGTATTTTAAAAGCATTACAAGATCCTTCGGTTCGAACCCCGGGATGTCTCTACTACCATTACTTACTTTTATGATATTATAGTACAGGAATATAATAAGGTATACAAATATTTTTAACACTACCGTATTATGTGATATATTATACACAATCTCGGTTTTCAATCCGTCCTTTCAATCGACTACCAATGAGCGCTCGATTTAATTTGCTTCGTAAGGAAGCTTTTGCTCGAGCAGACAGCGAACAAATTATACAATTTGTCTCATAAGGGGCCCATAAGTATCAGTGCGAACGATCCGCTGGATTAGTCCCAACGGGGACAAAGTTATATTGGCGAGGAAAATTTATAACATTCTATATTTATTAAGTTATAGGAAAAGGCCTGATTGGTGTAACGTTCTAATTAATTACTATAACTAGGGCTAAGTTATTGGCTGATTAATTTCTACATTAGGATATATGCTTAAATATATGTATATACCTATAATATATATACATATATATATATATATATAACACGTATATATTTCGGAGTTGAACTTGTTTTTCTAAATTTAAATTTATTGGTTTATAATTGGAACATATTTGGGTTTTATATAAATTACAAAATTTATCTTTGATATTAGTGAACCGACACCCTATTCCTTAGTTGCCTATTTTTTTAATAAAAAAAACAACAATTTAAAATCAAAGACACAATTGAGCAATCACTATTACAGGTGGTTGTAACAGTCAAGTTTTTCACCTTAAATACCTGCTATACTTAAGTACAGAAAATTACTTGCCCGATAACTTAAATTTTGGCCATTACTCTTATCGCGTAAAAAGAAATTTTCTTGCAGCCTAAAGGTCCTCTACGACTACCGTAATAACTGGTAATATGGGCGCGTTAACGATATATAGGAAGGCGATAAGTTCATTTTGTCATATATAAATTATGTTATGTATTAATATAATATATATCTATGTGGATAAAACGATACTCGCTAACACTCGTTAGCGAGTATCGTTTACATTTCTTTGTTTTTAACAATCCAACGTGTCTTACTGTTAATTTTAACTTGCTCTGTATTAATATTCAGTGACATTCCTATACCAGTTCTTACGCAATACGAATGAAGGTTAAAATTATTATGATTTGGTTTTCAGTTATCAAAACTGAAACAATTCTTAACTAAAGTTATATAATTATTTTCTAAAACTCCAGTTACCTTACTACTTTTAATTGACTTGTCATGACCGGTGTTTCAAACTTAACTTATAATACAAAGTCAAAACAGGCATAACGACAGCGCATTTAGTTAAGATGTTATATGGCTTAAGTATTTCACCTTCCATCAAGTGTATACCATGTTTGTATCTTCATAAAAAACGTCCAAGAGACACTTTGCTTTGAATCGTTAATAGCCCTGTAGACTTAGATCGCTTCCGCTTCCGCGCTACTTCTATATCCTGACCCTAAAATACGTAAGAAATCTCCCGGGGTGCCATGAGTTACGCCAACATTTGTCCCTGCCACGTGACCCACCCTATCTGATTGTGCTCCTTTCTCGTAATGAATATAAGTTTTTGACGAATGCGGTTAGTAGCATGCGGTCTTGCCATTATGATGAATTCCACTTGGATTGAAGTTGTTGGATTTAATTATAGTACAATGCTATTTATCGTAAAGCTTAGAAGTTATCTAAGTATCTGGGACCGTTAGTCCTGGATTGAAGATAGCGCTGTGGAAGAATTTAGTAATGAAATGCCACGTAGGACCTGTGGGTAACACTGTGTCCGTTTCATTGATCGGTCTTATTTACAGGCAAGTAGTAGATAATACACAGAAGTCTTACCTATCACCTGTGCCCTACAGACCGGAACAATCTATTGTTTCCAGGTGTCGAAACCTAGGACTTCTTGCGCCTGACGCAATACTAGGCAAATTATTTAGTTATTGAGCCTGATTGATGCCTGATATTAGTGATTTATTTAAAAAATTACTCAGGTTAGACTTGAATTTACGAACAGTCCTGCTGTTCTGCTTAGTAAACGTATTCTTATAAATAAGCATAGGTATATGGGGCTAAATAAAAATGATTGCTTTCTATGTACCCTAGCAGCACAGAACGCAGCAGAATGCTCCATCGCTTAGTGCACTCAAGAGCAGATCACGTGGTCCCAAAGTCAAGTTTAAACCTGTTCAGTCAAGTTATTTCTAACAAAATTTATGATACTAGCTCGTTCTTTGGAAGTAATAGGTCGTCGACCTCGTTCCTCGCAGATGAGATTAAATAGTCTAAGCTCAACAAAAAAAGACCTAGACCGTAGACATTAATAGATTGAAACAAGAAGCACAGTATATGTAGTCTTTGTGACTGACGACGTCTGAACAATTTTCTCAATATTCACACTTAGACATTTAAAAATAATGCAAAATAATCTTCGCAATTTTAAGGCTTCGCCGGGTGGAATTTTGGAAAAAGCAATTTGGCCAAAAATATTTAATGTCTGTATACCCCGAAGCGTTGTTAGACCCTCGTCAAATAATTAACATGAAAGCCACTTAGAGGGGACTAAGATGAATCACGCATAGAAAAATTTCACCAAAAATTCTTGGCGTTAATTAAATTTAAGGATTAATTACGCGAGATATGAAACCGTTAGAAGTTCTGTAACAAATTTAATTAATTCGATACAAAATATTCATTAGTTAACATAAATGATTGTGTACTAAATTAATCCAAAATATAATAATATTATTTAAATAAAATGTGTATCCATTGCTCTGTTTATATAATAACGAATAATAATAAATACGGGTTTTTTAGGAACTATATATGTATAATATAAATAAATGTAATAATATTATACAATAATCGAACAAAAGATCTCAAAATTTGTAAAAACGACGCGACACTCACGACGGGACAACTAGCTAACAGCTAGTACGACATAATTATATATACGATACAAAACGATACAATTTCCTTTCAAAACATATTCTTGAGCATAGAAATAGAGTAACTCTGATTAATCTTAAGATTATTTCATGCTACTTCTGTATTGACTCTGCGCAGTAACTCCTTGAAGTTAAATATCTTTAATGAAAATATCGTGTATGCTACGTAGAGCATAGATAATAACAACGATTGGTTTCAAAATGTCTTAGACATCTACGGTCTTGGATTTTAACCACCTACAATTTCTCTAACAGCGGTCCAGAAGCATAATTTTAACTCGCAGTGGAAATAGAGCGGTATTAAACTGGTACGTGCATCCAATATCAATAATTCAGAAGCGGTTCGGCCTAATGCCACCAACAAGTTGCACAAAGTGCGCAACTTACACAATATACTCTGTGGCGTCTTGGGACGGTCCAAGTTCTGCTTTCATTACGATATTAGATCGGGTAACGTGCGGAACTATTTAAACACTCGGAAAATCTTAAGCCAACTTCGATATTTGAGTTTCTGATTCGAATGCGACTGTCTTATATTATT